GACCCGGGTTGTCAGGGGCAGCACAGGACAGGCCCTGAGCAGCACATTATCCCAGCTCACCAGGCAAGCTAGACCAAGAGAATAGGAAATCCCTGTGAGGCTCGGTTTCCTTTGAGATGGAGAAGGCTTTGCCTCTAAGAGCCAAGGGGGTTAGCTGGTTGGAAGCTCCTGAATCTCCTTGCTAGAAGTTAATCAGCCCCCTGTTTTTATATGCTGTCCCAGCTGCTCAAGAATAGGTTTCGTTTACACCACAGAGGCATGAAATCAGTAAGGGTTAGTGACCAGAATCACCCACATTCTCCTCTTCAGCTCCAGTGTAGCAAACCCCACGTACCCGCACATGTTATTCTCCTGCCTGAGGTCTGCCTGGCAGGACATAGTTTTTCAAGCTGCCCTTTCTAATTACAGAGGTAATGTTCTCAATACCAGGAAAAAAAAAATGATTCTTTGGAAGGCGTAATTACCCAGCAAGTCCCTATTCATGCCACAATGAGCCTCAAGCTGGAGACTACAGGAATAGTAGCTGTGTTTAGTCCCACTGGATGTGAAAAGGGGGAGTTCCCGGAGCTTTGGCAAGCCAGGGATCGGTCTCTTCCACTCCCCAGTTCTGCCAGCTGTCTCCATGCAGCAGGTTCTCAGAATAAAGTCATTGTCTAGGGATCAGCCTCAGCTTCTGGCGGGTTCTTACGTTTCCATTTCCAGACATGAAACGTGCCCACGTGCTTTCCATTATGCAGGTAGTAAAACCTACCACCACAGTGTATTGCATTTAACACAAGTGTAAAACATCTGGCCCTGCACACCCAGAAGGCCTGTCCAGTGCTTCCCAGGAGCTCTAGCACATTACATGTACACCCAGTCTTCCTGGAAGGTGTTAGAACTTCCGCATGTCATCCTACAGCACATGAGTTCTGCTTCAGCCAGGCTGGAGCATGACTGGAAATTCCTTACTCCACCACACAGCCCATCCACAGTGGTCACAGCTGACACATATGCAAGCTGAGAAAGTCCTCAAAATGCGTATGACCCTGGTTCTGGGCTGGTGGGAGGATGCTCCTGGAAAAGCCTCATTGGATGGCAGCCCCAGGGTGGCTCATGGGCTTCTGCTCTGGACAGGAGACTGTTCTGCAGCTCCCTCTCTGCTTTAACTTACTTTCTGACAGACCTTGGAGGCAGTGTCCCCAGGGATGCACAAAGAGAAGACACTACTATTTAGTGATTCAGCAAGGCAGCCACGGCACTGGCAGAAAGGCGATTCAAAAAGTCCATTGTGAGCAGTCTTCAAGATGCTGCGCACACTGAACTTGGACAAGTTTAAGTAAGTGAGAGGGAGGAATACGGGCTGGTGACGGGGTACCTGAGTGCTCAGAAATGCAGCTACCCCGCTCCTCCTGGCCCCCACAGACATGATGGGGATACCACAAATCTGCAGTATCTGGGGATTTTACACTCTGATTGAGCAACTTGCTGAAACATGGGGTCCAGAGCTGGAAGGGATGCCAGCTTGCCCAGCCTAGGAGAAGGGATGGATATCTGCTTCCCTTCTGAACCTCACACAGCCATTGCCTCAACTGCTCTTCAGGCTATGACCAAGGGCCCTCCATCTGCAACCTAGTTCCCCCTCTGGTCTCATGGTTGTTACTCACCTATGTTGATTTCTCCCTGTCCCTCAGCTGAAGATCCCCGTAAGGACAATCCCTATTATTATTTGTCAGCCTTAAGGCATCATGATGTTGCTGAACACCCCAGAAATAAAGGAGAACAGAGATGCAAGGGTTTTTCCTTAAATACAAGTGTTTACTCATGTTTGTGTCTTGTGGTGTGATAATGTAGGCACCAACCATCACAAAGGTCAAAGCAACATCCCCCAAATATTTACAGCAGTACAGACATTGATCAACAGCTGAGCCCCCAGACAGAAGTCCCATCCTGTACCTTTTCCTTGTTCTGGCTCAGCTTTCTTTGTGAAGAGCCCAAGCAAAAAGCAGGTGGAGGTCCTGATCCATGGTCCAGGCTGAGCTGAAATACAGGGGTGTAGGGAAGAAATATCCCAACATGTTCTTGAATACAGAGTCATTCTTCCTCTCAGATGCCTACTTGATTACCAACAGCTTGTTGCCTTTGCTCATATTATCCTCCTGGAATAAGCTATGCAGCATCCCTCAATGAATAAAGAAATAAAAGGGAAAAAAAAAAAAATCAGTACTTTAGCAGCAAAGTCAAAAGATTCCATGAAAATCACTCGTCTTTCTCCAGACTTCATTGTCTGCACAAGTCTAACCAGCAGGGAACGATCACATTCATACCAGTGTTACTCCTTTCAAACCGAAATTAAAAGTCAGGCAGTAACCAAGAGGAGGCTTTTAAAAGCAAACCCTGTGCCTGGTTCTCACCACATTTCATAGAGAGAGATGGAGAGGGATGGTTTTGTTCTATGTGTGAGCCATTTTCAGAGCCATCTCTCCCATGTCATCTCACAGCACCAGAAAGTGAAAGACTTCTGCCATGGCCATGGAGAATTCAGCTCCAGGGAGTCTCATTTCCAGAGAGACAGATAAACAAAAAGCCACAAGACATAGGGAAAAATGGCTAATGACAGAAAAGTCAAAGAGGTAGATCCATCACATTAGCAGTGAGCCCGGCGAGGGTTCATGAAGCAGAGGGTAATGACAGCAGCCTACCACAGTCTGGAGAGGATGATTGTGAAAGCGGGGCAAAAGAAATGTGTGAGGAAGTGTCTGAAGGGCTGCAAAGCCACAATTGTTACAGAGATGCTCTCAGTTTCAGGGACACTGCTACTGTCCTTGCCCAGGTTTATTCAGGTCCTGAAGGGCTAGCTGCCAGGGCTGGAGATGTTTGGGGTGGAAGCAAAGATGTAGAGGGTTAGAGAAAAGTCCACTTGCACTGATTTCGCTGGCAGAGGGTTGCACTGGCTGGTGCTGGAAGCCACCGGAGGGTGATGTCAGGGTCCAAGTTTTTCCATCTTTTTCCTCAGAGGGTGCTTGTGTTAGCCCAGGTGGAGTGAAGGGGGATCCTGGCATCTTTCTGCTGGCTTTTCTGCCCATGCAGGGTTAGAAAGATAAAATGCATCCAGTCAGATGGATCTCCTCAACCCTTGGGGCCAAGCGCAGGATTTATTCCCTCTGGATCTATCACCTGATGCAGATTGCCTTGTTCTGGCTCTTGGTCCCTAGGAGACTGTTCCAGTCCAGATCTCACAAACCTGGTAAATCCAGGTGTGGGCCCAGATTACAATGCCCCCCTACTCAGAGCACTGTCACTTAACTGTCACCTCTCCACCGTCATCCTTCCTGTCAGCCTGACCCTTTACACCCTTCCGTTACAGTGTTTTCCGATTTCCTGCAGGACACAAATGGAGCCCAAGGTCCTCGCTGCTGACTGACCCCTCCAGTCCTTTCCCAGCTCTTCCCTGTTGGCCTTGCAGTCAAGCTGCAAGGAGCAGGAGGAGGAGAGGACTCTGCATATTTAGCACTTGACCCTGTCTTTTCCCAGGCAGAAATTCAAATGGGACCTCTCTAGGAGGGGATCACATCTCCCCAGGGCATTCCTAGCTATTGTAGCTCCTCTCCTCTACCCCAGGCTATGTGTGTTTGTAGTTACCAAATGCAAATCACATTTCCCACCCTCCTGGCTGAATCTCTCACTCCACAAGATCCTTCCCGTTTTTTTCTCACCAGCTCCTTTTGCAATGCTCTGCAGAGTTCACAGCCCCTCCCAGTTTCACCTTCCTCTGATCTGACCATGCACAGTGAGGTGGCTATAGGGAAGGTATTTAAGCAATCCTCCTAATTAAATACCTGCATCACCTCTTGGCTCAGCCTGGCTCTGGACACAGAAACTGCAGCTATTTTGCAGCTTAGCAGCTGAAGACTCCCTTTTTTGAGGAATGCTGGTGACTAACCCCTAATTGCATTTTAAAAGATAGCTTTTTGGCCTTTGGTAGCTGTGAGGAAAGCCTTGCAGCTGTGGCTTTACTGTGACTCTGGGAAGGCTAGATGTCAGCAGCCAGATCAAGTCAATGGCACATTAACAACTGATAATGGTAGTTAACTCACTTGGTTAACTGTGTGAGCACATGCTTCACCCCTGAGCATTTCAACTTCCATCTCCCAGGCTTGTCTCAAGCCACCTTTGACGCTCAGCTCTTATTCACTGTTAATACAGAAACCTGGAGCACATTAAGTGGAGGGGACAGTTTACAATAAAAGCTCATGAATTGATTCCGTGACCCTGCAGAGGCTATTAAAAATGATTGAATGAATATGGAAATGAGTAATTGTACAGCTGGACTTGGGGCTGAATGTGGCCAACTCCATTCAGTGCAAACCACAAATAAAGCAAGGCTCACGCGAAGCCACCAGAGTCTCTAGATTGTGGTATGAGCTGTGGGAAATTGCCCTCAGATTTCCGGCACGTTTACCTGTCCCTCTTGTGCTGTGGGTTCTACTCAGCACCCGTCTGTTCAGACTCATCCTTCCTCCCCAAAGGCTGCATGACCAGGAGACTCTTATCCCATGCAAGTGCTTGGCCAGATTCCCTGCTAGGGGAAATTGGGGGCCATCAGAGCCGCCAACCCCAGCTCCCGACTCCTTGCTGTTCACACACACACGCTTGGCTAGTGCAGCCCACGTTCACAGGGATCAGAAAACAATCCCGGTCTGCCTCAGTTTCCAGCCACCAGCACAGATTCCCAGGAAGCTGGATTCCTTGCTGGCTGGCCAGAGACCTGAGGAAGCGGGCGATAGAAACCTTCCAACAGCTTTACCATATGTACACAGTACCTGAAGGTGACAGATATCTGTAATTAAAGACAAACCTGGGCGAATGAGCATCAGAAAGAGTTAAAACTGAAGTGGTCCGCCACTGTGTGTGAGGGTAGGGCACAAAGCTTTATGCTTTCCTTACATATGTTCTCGCTTTCTCTGTGGCCAGCTGAGAAGGAAGAAGGAGGTTGACCTAGGAAACATGTCACACAGAGGTACGGTATAATACATTTATTTTAAAAAACACACACCAGAACCCCACTTACACTAAGTATAGAGACTAAAGGTTCATTCTTATTTCCCAAGGGCCCCAGAGTTGTGTCCTCTCCCCAGGGCAGAGTGCCAGCACAACTGGTATTAAGGGGGTGGAAGGAGTGGACTAAAGACCTTAGTGGTCTAAAGGAAGGGGCAGGAAGGACAAGTCATGTGTATGGCATATGCTGAGTGGGTGTCCACCTTCAACACAAGCCCAGAGGGCAGAAGCTACAGTGCTGCCATGGCTGCCCTGTTAATACAAGGCTGCTTGGTGCAGTTTTGCTATGCTGCCCTGCTTCGGCAGCCACCGGGACCGCTCCTGTCCCTAGCTGTTTGCTATCATCAGTCATCACTGAGAGCAGCGGCAATCTCCATGCAGGTCATGGGGAGGATTGAAGAGTTCTGTCTCCTGGAGCAATAACTTTGTCCATGTTCAAGCCTGGTCTCCATTTCAGATGTTTCAAAGGGCTCTGGACCAGTATTTGCCCCTGAGGAGGAACATTCAGTGGTGTTGGGTGAGCCCACAGCAGAATCCTGTCCCCAAAGGAGCTGCCCATGACCCCCTCACCTGAAGCAGCTTTCTTCCCCTGCAGCCTTCTCTCAGCGGGCAACTCTCTACCCCCCTTCCCATCCATCACTCCTGGCTTTCAGGCCACTGTCAGAAACCTCCTGCAAAGAGACAATGGCAGCCCAGGGTCCCCATTCACCCCTGGAGAAAAGGGCCTGTGCATGTGGAGTGATAAATGGTTTGTCCCCAGCTGGAGACAGAGGGTTGGACACTCCTGATCAGCTGCAGGAGGGCAGCCCTTTGTCTTGCTCTGGGGAGATGGAGCAGAAGTCGACCTCCAGACTTAGGCTTCCCGGTATCACTCAGCCTGAGGTCTTCCGTGGTAATGCGAGAGTCCAGGCTTCCTGCATAGCCCGCTTCTTGCCGTAGCTCAGAGCATCCCCTGCGTTTGGCGTTCAGTCTCCAGCTGTGCCCCGGAGGACACCAGCACAGGAGTCCTCCCGCCTGCTGTGATGCCGCTGGCGTTATTTACAGACATATCTCTCCACCTTCCGCCGACACTTCTTGCACACCACGTAGCAGCACCAGTGATACTTGCAGTGACACCTCTCCACCACCTCCTCCGTGTAGGTGTTGTAGCCGCGGCCGCAGCACATCAGGTTGCAACTGTCGCTGCCCACGGAGGTCTTGTTGCACTGCCTGGCAAGAGGAGGATGCACAAGCGGGGGCTGTGGGAGCGTACCTGCCCACACATGGCCTCCGCCCAGAGCTTACGTGCCCATAGCAGGAGGCAGCAAGATGCACTGGTCTGCCTGCAAACTGGGGTTGATGTCAGCTCATGTTACTGTGACAGTGTTTGAGCAGCTGGGGCTGAGGTTGGGCACCCTCTGTGTCATGCTGGGGCAGGAACTTCCCATGGAGAAGGAAGGGCGGATGGCTAGGACCAGGAACTTCTGCTCCTGCTAAATCTAACGGGGATTGCAAGTCACAGCCCTGGGGCAGCCCTGGCTCAGCCTTCAGACAAGGCTTCTCTGTCCCTCTAAAAGCTTCCACCCACCACCCCTGCAATTGCTCCAGAAAGGAGACATCTGGGAAGCACCGCAGACTCCAAGGACTGCTGAACTGTTCTGGTTACCGGCAGGCAGCACCCAAAGGCTTGCAGGGAGAAGCAGTATTTCCCTTTCTGACTCTGCATTGGGTGGATCCTGTCCTGGATAGTGGAGCTGATGGACTCTGTGAGGGCTCTCCCTTGCCTTTACACCTGCATAACTCTGTAAAAACAACATCTGTCTTCCTGCCCTCCTTGGGACTTTAAGATGCAAAGATTTTTCAGCAGTCTCTGCGATGTCCCCAGCTAACAGGGGACCACCCATCCACACCAGCTTCCTGGAGCACACTCTCAAACTAGACACTCATGAACTAAGAGGCTGAGTTAGAGCATATTTGCAGCAGTTACTTACCTGTCCTGTGTCCCCAGAGACCCCAGGTGGCGATTTGGCATGCAGTAGTCAGGAGAGTTGATGAGATAAACCAGATCCGTCCCTTTCACTGGCCTGACATCCGTTTCTTTGGGTATCAGCTGCTTCCTGGGCCCTATGAGCCGGTGGGTCACCTTGATGGCTGCCAGGTACTTGGACTTGAGGTCAGAGGCAATTTCATCCAGGTTTGGCAGTCCCTTCCAACAGGTCTTCACCGAACAGGAGCCTGAAACACCATGGCATTTACACTTGGTATCCAGGGAGTCACTCAGCACCTGCAGAGGACAGGAAAACAGATGAATTTGCTTCTGCTTTTTCCCCAGTACCCACACTATGGATTGATTTGCAAGAGCATCCATGGGAAGTTTCAAGAACTCAGCTGCTTACCACCACCATTAAATGAATATAATGGGACAATCAAGGACTCAGCCCTGCTTCATTCTGCTTGTGATAAGAACCTAACCCTTGAGGAATTCAGCCCTGCTGGAGCTTGCAGTGGGGCTGGTGGCTGCCCCAGCCAGCATGGCTGCAGGATGGCCATGTTCTCACCTGGGGAACATGAGTGCAGGAAAGCACAAAACCCTACAGTTTCAGGGCAGGGCTGGGGAACCCAGATGGAGCGGAGTGGGACCGTCCTCTGCTTCCCATGAGAGGTGTGGGAAAAAGTATTGGAAGTACTGGTGTGAAGCAGCAAATATCATGTGCCAGTTGTGGAAAGGGTGCAGAGATGTTTGGGGGGTGGGTAGCAGTGGTGGATGTCTCTGCAAACACCTTTAACTTTGTTTTAACCATTTAGTTGCCTCCTGACAGCATCTCAACAGCCTGGCTGGAGTCTATCGTCTTACATTAGGCACCTCTGCCCGTGGGTGCTGTAAGGTGTGAGGGGCTGCAGCAATTTGTGTGGGCACCGTACCCACCTGCCGACCCACTGCATTGTTATGCAGATTCATAGCCTTGAGCCCTTGTGTCCCCAGCTTGCTGGATTTTAAGGGACTGTCAGCAAAAGCAGCACCAAGCTGGAGGCCGTAGCGCAGGTTGTCCCCACAGCCACCCCATCTGAAGTCTGGCCCCGGGACCTCCAAGGGGACGGAGCCACAGGAGCAGAGAGGGAGCTCTCCTGAGGCGCAGGCTTGGGCGATGGAGTGTGTGACGGCGGCAGCAGCCAGGGCGTAGACAAAGGCGGATTCCCGGGTTCCTGGGAAGAAGAGGGGGAGATGTCCTTCCTCCTGGCCCAGCCAAGCACTCCTCTCAAAGCTCTCACAATGCAAATGAGGGGTTTTTTTCTTGCAACAGGATAAAACCAAGGCCCAGCTTTTTTCTTGCACTGTATTTTTAACCTGTGCCACCCATTATATTAAGCTGTCATTATACAGCTTGTGACCCCACCTCTTCCCCCTTTTTTTTTTTGGAGCCTCTAGCAGCTGTTTTTGTTTGAAATGGAAGTTACTGTCTGTCCTCTCCTGCAGATCGAATTGCCCAGAATTAACACCAGTGTAATGGCATCAAGTTTTCTCCAAAATATATATCTAAGGCAAAATTGACACCCATCAGCTGAACAGCAGCGCTGTATATTAAAGTGCTGTCTGCCTGGAAAGCAATGTGGGCCAGAAAGAGGAACATGAACGCAGCGGATGAAACATCCTTTACCTTTCAGGAGGTCAGGGCCAAAGCTGGGGGCACGTTGGACGGAGGAGCAGTTCCACCTCATGTCTGCAAAGGTCTTCTGGCAGACGCTCTTGGTCTGGCAGGCGGCCCGGACGATGCTGTGCATGACCTCCAGGTTCCTGCGGCACATCTGGAACTGGTCGGGCACCAGCCCGGCGAGCAGCCGGCAGTGGTGGCTTTCGTTCCAGGCCACCCCGCTGCCACTCTCCGGCAGCCCGCTGTGGGGAGAGGATGGGTGTCAGCAGGGTGGGGGGGGTGGAAGGGGTGGCCACGGGGAACCCCTGTGGGGACCCAGCTGGAGAGGGGGACCCCCAAAAGGAGGCACCGGGGAAGGGGGTGCACCCCCCCCTGGGGCCACTACTCACAGCCACTGGATGGCCGCGGAGAGCCCCAGCTGGCAGAGCAGCGCGGCCGCGGCGGTGATGGGGTGGCCCATGGCCAGCGGTGGGACCGGCACCGGGGCTGGGGCCGCCCGGCGCTGCCGCCCCCTTTTATAGGCGGGGGCGGCGCGGTCCTCCCCCACCACCCCCGGGGAGGGGAACAAAGGCGGTTTCGGTGCCATTCACAGCGGGTTAGGGCCGTGTGGAGGGGTTGGGGGGGGGGGATACAGCTGTAATTAGCAGCGACCATCCCTGAAACGGCACCTGGGAGGTGACCAACAGCTGACGGAGCAGCTCTGCGCGATGGGGAGCTGGGGGCCATCAGGTCTGGCATGGCACCCCACTAAGTGCTCAGCTGCCCCATACCCCTTCGTAGACATGCTGTGCACAACGGCCCGACACCTTTGGCATTTTCAGGAGAGCCAGCAGATCGCAAAGCAAATACACGTGTCTGCGCAGTACGTAAAAACTCCTCCCTGTAACTGGCTGGCAGGAGTCAGAAAGAGAGGACATTAAGTAAAGGACAGATGGGGTTGGCACAGGCTGATAGCAATTTCTGGCTTTTTTCCTTATTTTCTTTCCAAGAAGCTTTAAAAAATACATTTTCCTTGACCCAGAAAGAGTGAAAGTCTCAGCCATCTGCTTCCTCTGTCTTCAGAGTCCCCTGAGGACCCCCAGCATTCTGCAATAACCAAGACTCCAGATGTATACGTGTCAATCAAGGGTGCAGACACTGGTCTCCCCGTCCTGGAGAGAGGACCCAGCCAAAGGCTGTGCTGGGGCTGAAGCCGACCAAGTGTGGGGAAATCCTGCTCCTGGACACCAACGTCAGACCTTCAGCCCCAGCTCCTTTTCTTGCAGACAAACCATCTTACTGACCCACGCTCAGTGAGGGCATCAACATCTGCTAGTGGGTTTTCATAACCGCAGAGAAAGAGGGTGAGCAGAAGGGGACATGTGGAAGGGCTCTCAGCTTGCAGCCCACAAGCACATTTCAAAATAATCGGGTTAAAGCAACCTCTCCCTTCTGTGGGAAGATGCGGGGGCTGCAGCGCAAAGGCTTCTTTCGCTCTACAGCCCTTCCCATGCAAACTTGAGAAACAGCCCTAAAACTGAATGCACCCATTAGAAAACTTGTGGTCAGAGCAGGATCTAACTCAGCATGGGGCTGTCTTTGGCTTGTCAGCACTTCAAACCCGAGTCCATAGTTGGCATGGGGCTTTCTGTTGCCTTCAGCACCCCGAAGCACACAGGGGCAGGAGGGTCAGCTAAAGGACTTTGCTTTGACTCTGTCACTGGGCTTTCTGGATCAGGACTAATGCTTTGATGTGTACTTCTATTTCCAGGCTCCTGAAAACAGCATAACCAGCTTCCACAGCAATTTGCCTCTCCAGACCAAGAAAATGAGCTTAAAGTCCACCGGCTGTCTCACAGATAGCCCAGAGGGTAGTTTGCCTGGTGCTGAGGGCTGACCATGTGCGTGTCCGTGAGCCAGCACTGGGCACAAGGATCAGCTGCAGAAGTGCCCGTTTCATTGCAGGGACCAGATTACAGCTGGCAGAAATGATGCAGCCAGGGAAATGGTGCCTGCTTGGGCAGGGGCTGGTTTGACGTGACATTGCTGTGGCTTGTGTGTACTTGTGACAAGGTGTTTTCTTCTGAATCTTTCTGTTTTGTAAGTATAAAACCTAAAGTGCAACCTTGCTGCTGTGAAGACCTGCAGGAATGAGGTAGGCTGATATTCTCCTGCAGTGGGAGGTGACATCTGTGAGATAAGTCCAGGTGAGACCAGCTTCTTTTGGAAAGTCACAGGCTGAAGACCTCTACATTGGGCTTTCACTTTCTCCCTCACTGTGCAACTTCCCTTCTCACTGGAAGGTGCTTTCCCTTTACAGGATATAACTGGGTGGTTGGTTAGCACCCCCTCATGACCTCCCTTTGACTTGCTATCATGTGCCCTAAAACTAGGACACACAGCTTGAATTGCTGACCTTCCCAAACTACTCCCTTGGGATGAAAAGGCCAAGGTGCATTGTGCTGGAGCAATGGCCCATGAGGAAGGGTCCTGCTAGGAAAACGCCGAGGTCACTCCCAAATCCCAAGCAGAGATACAAGGGGCTTAATTAAAGGACAGAGAGAAAAGAAAGAGCCGCTGTATTCAGTGTTCCTGGAACCAGCTGGCTCTGATCCCATTAACCTTCCTTTCTGTGATGCCTGTGAACGGACACCAAAGGGCTCCAAAGTTACAGCAAGCTCTTGTCAGCTGAGGAACGATTTTTCAGCAGGAGTAGGAAAGATACAGGATAAAAGCAAATTTGCTGAGCTGCTCATCAGGGCACATAGCTGGGATGTCTCTGCAGAGGGCATGCGGAGGCCAGCAAGCACCATCCATGGGTTTCTGCTTTGGAGTGCTGGAAGCCTGCCCTGCTCTGGACATCCCACCGGCTGCATTGCCACTGGCTGAACATCAGCACTATTGGGCTGTGACTCCCTGGTTTAGGGCAAAAGGAGCCTTTTCTCAGTGCAGCTGGTACTTAGAAATTTATCCTTGAGTATTTCAGGGTGTGAAATGCTTTTCTGGCTGCGGAAAGCAGAGTCCCTGTTAGCAAGGACAAGGGATAACGCAAGTCTCTATTCCCTAAACACCAAACCACACATTTTGGTTTCTGTCACTAAAATTAGGCCTAAGCTGATTAAAATAACAACAATCTGCCTATTTTTATGGGATAAGCTGAAACAGTAAGGTAAGCAATGAGCATGCCCTCTCCTGTAGCACATGATGCTCCCAAACACTGCAGACCAAGCATCGGGTACAAGGGAGTCCTCCAGCACCTATAAAGCATTAAGGCTGGTCCTTCTCAGCTGCTGCTCTCTCCAGCCCTGATTATTGCCCCACGGAGGAAGATGTAAGGGCAAGTCAGACAGTGGCTAGAGCAGTTTGTGATGCCCAGCTGTGGATGGGTAACTCACAGCCTGTGGGGAGGTTGAGCACAGGCATCTGGGCAGAATTAATCCATGCACAGGGCACCCATCCTGGGGATCCTCTAGAGCATCTGCTACTCTCTAGGCTTCTTTATGGTTCCAGACACAATTCAAGCACTTCGACCTTTTCCACAATGTAATTCTCTTTTTTTTTTTTTTTTTTTTTTTTTAATGTCATCATTAGGTGATGCCCAGAAAGAGAAAAAAACTCTCTCGGAGAACTGCACTTGGCCTTGGAGTACCTGTGACAAAATCCACAAACCAGTTTGAGACACAAGTATGTGCAAGGGGGTAGGAACTGCATCACGCTGTATGGAAAGAGCCAGGCAACACTGGTGGGGAAGGGTCTCACCACTACCCAGCTCACACAGCCCATATGATCTGCTGCAAAGACCCACTACCCACACTGATCCTGAGCTTTGAGACAGCCTCAGTGCACCCTCCAAGGGCCAGAACTCACCAGTGATGTAGGACAGGAGACAATTTTCTCCATTTTCTACGAGTCCCTGGATCTTCAGCCCAACTCAGCTGCTCCCTTGTCAGCCCAATGTCTCCCCCAGCATCCCCGCTATTTAAGAAAGCTGCTGTTTGTTTTGCTCCAGTGGTACCTGAGGGCTGGTACTGCCGTTGCATGGAAGATCAAACTCTCTCTGGCTCCAGTTCCAGGTGGTACGTGGCAGAGATGAACCTGATCTCTGAACCTGGTCCACTTCTACCAAGGGCTCTGCAATGAGAGGTAGTCCCTGTTAAGTCCCTGACATGATGGATTTTGCTTTATGCAACGCAGAACCCCAAGGGTGGAGGTAGAAAAGTCCCATGAGGCAGCACCCACTGTTGGGCCCAAATTCTGGTGCTGTGTGGGACAGGGTGACAGCACCCTGGGGTGCCTGGGGCCTGCTGTATGACCAGTGGCTTGGTGCTGTGAGTACCCTTAACACCTGGGGTAAAGCTGGGGTCCTTTGCCATGAAGTTATCTGATGTCTTTGGTGAGACACCGAGGTCAGACTGGTCTCACAACAGCAATATAATTCAGCTTTCACCTTTCTTGAGTCAGTTTGGTTCTATTGGTACTCACTGCGCTCTGGAAATCCATGATATTTCTTTGACATCTCACCTTCCCAGTCATGGCTGTTGCAGATCTTTCTCTTACCTTGACACAAAATCAGATAGTGTCCACACTTCTCCTTTGTGCTAGCCCAAGCATTCCTTTCACTCTAACCCCAAGGATTTTGATGTTATGCAATCGTATTCTCTCCAAGTTCCCTTTTCAGCCTTGGGGAGTGGGGAAATGCCTTGGGCCCTGAGGGGGGACATTGTGGGGAAATCTGGACAGCTTCTGGAGTGAGTAGGAATTTTCTGACCAGGAAAAGCTGCTTTTGTCAGTGTTGGGAGGTGCCTGGGTGCTTTTTTGGGCATCTTGTTCTCAGTGGGCAGAGGGAAGACAGTGGTTCACCAAGCACATGCAAGGCAGGAATTGCCAAGCAAAGGCAATCCCGTGTGCTGGGCATGTCTAACCAGATACCTCCTTCTTCGGGCTGCAGCCAGAGGGACAGAGGGGTTCCAGTGGCTTCCAGCCTCTCCCAGTTACGGTCACTCTGCCCTGGACTCCTTTGCAGGAGGTGTCCTTCATCCAGCTGGTCTGCAGCTGCTTTGCTGGTTGTTGCTCCAAAGTGTCTCAGTGCCACATCTCTGCTGAGGGATGACGAGGTCGCTGTGAGAATGCAGGCTCTGTTGGAGACGCTAATCCTTCTGGGGTGATTTCTAACGTTATCTCATCAGCTGCCTGGAGCAGCCCCACACGGCCCAAGAAAAAGTGACCATCAGCACAACTAGACCCTACGACAGAGGATTTCAGACAAGATGGTCAGGAAGGTCAGTAGTGCCCTAATCTCTCCTGAGCGAGACACAAAGGTGGGCAAAGTGCAAGCCCACCCCTGTGCAGGTGGAGGGGGAGGAGGGTCTAGGGTTGCTCTCTAGGTGAAGTTGCTTTCCAGTGGGGTGGTCCCAGCATATACTGATTCCTGGGGCTGTTCCTCACTAGGGCAGGACTTTGCATCCCCCTTGAACACCCTCCTCTCCGCCGGCCTTAAGTGCCGTGGCATTCACAACACCAGCACCCACGATGGCCGGTGCAGGCTGAGCTTCAGGAGATGGACATCAGAGATGCCCGACCACCTGGGTGGGACATGGAGCATTGTCCTGCCACTGCCCAAGCTGTTCAATACAAAGGGAGGGGTCTGAGTGTGGTTAGAGCTTCCAAACCAAAATGGATCCATCCCCAGCACAAGGGCCTGACCCCTTCTCTGCTCTGTGAAGTGTCAGGCCCAGAAAGGAGAGGGGATATTGCCACCTTCTGGCCAGTGGTTTTCCTTTTAAGGGCCACCATCTCCCCTTTGGGTCCCTGAAGAACCTGCTTTCACCGTGCTCCTGCCTTCCGTGCTGGTGCTGGCAAGTCTCACATTGAAGCAAGGAAATTTTTTCCCCGCTTAACCATATTTTTTTCAGGCAAACTCCTCAAGGTGTGGATGGTGTCTTATTCTGGGACCTGGAGGATCTCAAATGGGTTGCCCATAGCCAGTACATATGGGGGTTGGATGGCAGCTGGGATGGTGAGAGTACTTGGGTTCCTATGGTTTCAGGAGAAGCCATGAGCAAGTCAGGAAAAGCTGCTGGAGAGCAGGAATGCAGAGCGGACTCGTGCAAGTGTGGTCTGGCAGGTAGAGGCATCTCGTAGCTTCACAGGTGCTGGGAGCCATGACCAGCACTGGGGCAGAGGGGCTTAGAACCACCCCGTCCCCTTCTTTTGGGATGTAAGTCATGGTGGGAGCTGGGCATGAGAGGCCAGTGGCAGCATAGGGAAGAGTGTCCAGTGGTTTCTGACGTCTCCTAGAAAAGGTGATTTTTACCAATCCCTCTTCACAGAAAAGTTTTGCAATGACTGAGTAGTAGGGAAAAACAAACAAACAAAAAGGCTTCCTTTTAAAGCAAAAGTAATCCTTCATTTTATGTCAATTCCTCTTCTTAGCTCAATCCTTGAAACAACCATGGGGTACGTGCTAAAAATACCCCTTCCCCTTCTGTGTCAGGCTCTCTCTTGGGGAAGGAGGAGGGCAGGAGGGGATTCCCAGCCTAGGAGAAAGGCTTCCCTTCCTCAGCCTGCCCACACTGGACAGCCACTGTGGGGAGAAAGTGCAGCTGCACTGCTGGGGCTTCATCTGCAGGCACTGAGCAGAGGGAAAAACCAGAGGGGAGCAGGTGAGGAGCAGGGAGAAACATTGGAAAATGTCAAACCCTGATTGCCTGGTTGCCCTGGGGACACAGGCAAGAGCAGAAAGGTCAAGGAGATCACAGGAGGACAAGGAGGGGACCTGCTGCTGGATTGGGGCTTGGCTGCACACAGAGCTTGCTCTTGTGGTTAAGCTAATCAGTGGAGGAACATCATATAGTTGTCCTGGATGGTCAAAGGTTTGTGTCCCCTGCTACTGGGATTAAGGTGCCAAAGCAAACGCCCATGAATGGTTTGTGACCTGCATAAGCATATGGGGATCCCCCACCCCAGTACTGTCCCAGCTTGCAATGACTTGCTGCTTCCAGGCTCAGAAGAGGCAGCTTTGTACAAGGACCTTCCGGGGGTTCCCCTGCCATCAAAGTGTCCCGTGTCCCCTCAAGCCCTTGGCAGCCTCTGCACTCCCCATCCCACACACCTACCGCATGAGGAGCCACATCCTTTTGCCTGGGGAGCTGTGACAGTGCTGGGCTGTGGTGACGCAGGTGGCAGTGGAACGCTGTCATGTGGCACTGACGTCTTGGTGAGGAGGAAGGTCGTGCTCCCTGGCCAGCTCCCGTCACATCCCAGAGGCTGTGGGTGAGATCCCTGCTGCTGGCGGGCACTTGGGAGCGTCCCGTCCCCTCCGGAGGCTGGGGATGCTGGTGAGAGTCACCCTGGGTGCCAGGTGACCGTCCTGCTGCAGAGCACTGCTGTCCTTTAGAGAAAACATCCTCCTTCCTCTTTCAGATATAGTGGTGGAGTCAGTGACCTCACCACAGGACAGATACTGAGAAGCAGGCTGAGGGTGGTGGGGACCTGCAAGGACTCGCTCCTGCCAGCTGATCTCCTCCACAGCTGCTTGTGCACAATGCTGCCTTCCAGTTTCACCTGGCCCTGTGGCTTCCCAGTGCCCCAAAGCTGGGACCAGGGACCACGGGTCTGCACCTGCTTATGGCTTCAAGCTGTAAGAGGAATGAGAGCCTGGTGACACTTCATGTGCCGCTGTGACCAGGGCTGCCTGCAGCTGTGACAGTGGCCCGTTGCGGGCAGCACACACCGAGGCAGCCCAAAAGCAGGCTCTGCAGCACACCCTGTCCCCAGGGCCCCAGGACAGCTGGGCTGGGGGGATCCAGCTGCAGAACATCTGTTGGCATCTGCACCCTCTCCCCAGCAGCCTGGGCAAGCGGGGCTGCAGAAAGCAGCACAGGACTTTGCAAAGCAGGGGAGATGTTGGGAGTGCTGGAGAGCCGGTGGCAGGTCCCAGCCTGGCTGGAGCCCCACCAGAGAGGAAGAAAGTGTCATGAATAACACGCCCGACCTCACTAACTAGGCTAGAAATAGCTGCCAGGGGAGTTTTGTTGAGTCACGCAGGAGTGGCTGTGGCAGTGAGTGATAATGCAAAGCAGTGGTGGCACAGCCCTATGAACGGGAGGGACAGACGGGCTGATGTCCCTGAGGTGACACATGGGGACAAGCCACTGCCACCAACCTCCTGTCCCATCCCAAAGCCACAGAGCAAATGCCACTAAAAGCACGTAAAAGGCAACTCAGCTGTGGGGTGCCAGGCTATGGTAAGAGGACAGCGGTTTATGAGATCAACCCCATTTGGGAATGCATATTGCAGCAATATCAGCAAAAAATAAAAGAAACGATACTTTCAGCAGCCGTTCTGCTGCTGCCTGTGCACAGCAGTGGGCTCACCTGAGCTCTTCGGTCAGGTGAAACCTGGGGCAGAAGCTCCTGGGCAGAGGGAGGAAAACAGCATTCTCTGCTACAACGGTTTCAGGCCTTGCAGCAGCCTAAAGCACATTATCTTGCAGTGTCTTATAACAGAGTTGGGGAGATTTAGGCTAAGCTATGCTCCGTCTAAACCCAGAGGATGAGGAGCGCTCCCCCTGCTCTGCCAGGCAGGGGCAGCTCAAGGAGCAGTATCTGCCAGCCAGCAACCAGGAAATTCTTCAGTTCTTGAAGCAGATGAAACTCTGGCTCTTGTCTCCACGTAAAGAAAGGGAAAACAGAAAAAAATAAGCGCGCCCTAACTCAAGTTAGTTGCAGACAAGGTAATTTCCACATGAGTTAGCAGAACAGTTAGTTGGAAATTTTTGATAAAATCTATTTTTCTTTGAAAATGCAGATCCAGTGAAATGTGAAGGCTTTCCACTGGAAAGAATGAGTTTTGCTCGATTTCTCAACTAGTTCTCTAGAAAATTTGTAAATTGCCACAATATTTTAATCACCACTGCTATTTTTTTCAGACCAAAATTTATACTCCTACTGCCTTATAGCTTGACATGAAAATGCAACATTTTTGGCATTGTCAGTTTATTTGTTTGAACTTCAATATTCAACAGACCTTTCACCCTTATTTTGGACCAAGGAAAAGCTTGAGATGCCGAGACATCCCTGGGATAGGAAAACCATTTCCCGTAAACTGTGGGCAGCTGAGGCTGAGGAGCAATGCGGAACACAGGACATACCCCTCCTGTTAACACCGGTCAGTACCACAGCCGGGTTTCTCTTGACCTCGTGGGTAACTCGTGTGGGTTTCTGCTGACAGGAACACAGTTTGCAGGGCAGGGTCCAGTCACCCTGGGCACACCTCGCTGTCCCCCGTGCCAGCATGAGCCCCGGGCGCTCGCCCCATGCCCAGCTCCTGGCCAAGAGGAAAGCACGCTGCTTTTCCTGTCGCTGGCAGACGGGGACATTGCACCCAGCACTGACGTGGATTCAGTTCTTGCAGTGCCTGTGAGACCACAACCTGGAACCCTGTTTTTCTTTGAATCGGAAAAGCACACAGACATCAATAAAGTTAATAACCCAACATGCCATTTCCCTGGCTCAGTTTCTGTACCTTCACAACCCTTCTTTGGCCTCGGAGGTTCTCCAGGCTTTCTTGCCTTTTTTAACACTTACCACCCCTCCACAGGATCTGTCAGCCTCCCTGTCCCTTAGCAAGACTAGCATTTCTCTTCCATCCTTGTTACGTTAAACTTTGTGTCTTTGGGAGCCTTCCCTGCAGGGTAAAACCAGTGCCAGGATCCTTCCTCCTATTTTTAGTACATGCTTTAGCAGATGCTCTAATCCTCAGACAGAACTTCGGGCATCAGCAGCTCGCTGTCCCCAAGTGCCACCGTCCCCTCATGGGTCAACCACCAGCTGCTGCTGCTGCTGGTCCGTGGGGACATGACACGGCCTGCGTCAAAAGCACTGGATAAACACTGCCTGGGAGCGCTCGGGAAGCCCAGGGCAGCGCCTGAGCGCCCGGCAGTACATGGTGTCCCCGAGCACCCGGTGTCCCCGCCGGGCACTCAGCTCTGTGCGGCTGCAGGGCCCCAGCCCTCCGCAAGCATTAATGTGAGGAGGATGCTGGCGGGAGCTGGTGAAGCAGCACACAGGGCAGGATATCTTATGCGACATGCATGGAAAGTACAGGCTGGGAGGGGGGGTTAAATGAGGAAGAGAAGCCACACAAAATGTACTAGAAACAGCTATTGAAGGCAACGGCAGCACTTTGGGCTCCTGCCAGGCAGCCTTGAAGAGTGTCCCTGTAACGTCACCAAGCGCCTGGGCAGGGGAAGGAGGCTGGCACAGCTTTAGGGACGGGCTGAAGCCGGGCTGAGCTCACCCACCTGCTATCACAGAGCTTCGCGGGCACACAGCAAAGCACGTCCCTGCCTCAGGGAGCTCGGGTGCCACCTGAGGAGAAGGGACCCTGCTGAAGAGAAGGGCAGAAGAGACCAAGGGGCACACGGCATTTCCTGGCACACTGTGCTTCGTGCCCAGAGCCCAGCTGGCTGTGTCTCCCCAGGGACATTGGCTGGGGCTCACGCTGGAGCAGGGGATGGAGACGGGGAGCACCAGGATGGGAGAGGGTGGTGGTGGGGGGCGTGACTGGCACGCACCAGGACTTTGGCAAAAGAGAGGGACACAGGAGCAGGAGCAAAAAGAGGAAAGGTGGGTGTGGGAGCAGAAGATTCAGCAAACAGCCACCCTCAAGCAGGAGGCTGGGTTTTCACCAGTGGCACGGGCTGCCTGCTCGTCCCAGGGGTCCCTGCAGGGTGGTGACACACAGTGACAGGCTCCCCCGCGATGCCCCCGGCACTGGCATGGCCAGCCGCTCGCTGTGACAAGGCACAGAGCGCCAGATCAAAGGGAAACTGAGGCGGGGATGGAAATGTGGGGCCATCAAAGGCACTGGGGGTCCCTCAGGAGCTGGATGCCCATCAAAGGCCAGGAAACTGCAGTCCCAGAAGCAATGCAGGCAGCATGGGGAAGACATATGTTTTACAGCAAAAATGCCCTTTGCTTCACACTAAAACCACGATAAGCTTGAAAGGAAAAAAAAAAAAAAGAAGTTAAGTAATTGGGATTTTAAGTGACTTCCAAGCCCTTTTGCTCTCACAACCTCTAACCCAACAGGTATGTGGACAAGTAGGTGGCCTGGGCCAGTTGGGGACTTTCAAGATTGAACCAAAGAGATGTGAAACATAAAAGGTTTCATTACAACCTTATTTTTGTCCTTCCTCAGAGCTGCCCCCAGCCCTTTAGGTGCTCATCAGGCACCTGGCTGCTAGTGGGGCCAGGGGGGAGCGGGCTGGGTGTGCAGCATTACTCTGCCCTGGGAAGCTGGACACGTCACACCCGGGACAGCCGGCCAGCCGTTGTGTGCTTACCGGGAGCATCATGCCCACCGCTGCCATCCCGCACCACCCACGCCGCTCGCTGTCCCGCTCGCTGTCCCGCTTAGCGCCTTCTCCCTAGCTGGGGGCCCAGCCCCCCCCATATTAACCGCTGGCTGCCCGTGGACCACGGCTCTGTCAGGCACCTGGGCAGCATCGCTCCTTCCTGCTGCTTGCCTGCCCCTGTGATGGAGACTGAGCTGCCCCTGCCACTGCCGACTTGGGAGTCCAGGAACTGTGAGGGGAATGTCCTGCACCCACTTCAAAGCACCCATGACCCAGCATCAGCCAGGGACAGCAAGAGAGTGAACTTTTTTTTTTTTTTTTTTTCTCTCTCTTTCTTGCTATCTCAATGGGTGAGGACAGGGCAGATTTCTTGCACCTGCAGCAGTGCCTGAGGTCATTTTAAGCCCTGCCAACTTCACAGGATCCTTCAGATGACAGCTTGGCAGGAAAAGGCAGATGAGAGGCATGTAGGATCCTGCAGAGACCCCCTGCCCACCCCAGTGCTACGACCCACCACTGGAGCTTCCCCTCCAGCACAGCTTCCAACAGGCACCGTTCCTTACCACTGCCAGCTCCTTGCAGGGCTGGGCTGGGCTGGGGAATGTCTCTGGGAGCAGGAGCAGGTATTTAACCGAGCTACTAAAAAGGCAGATAGTGACTGCTGGGAAAGCTGTGAAACACTCAGGTGGCACCAATGAAGACAATTCCCTTTCCCCAAGCAGAGCATGATGGGGTTGGGGGCGTAGATCAATCCAGCCAGCCCAGGCCTTGGTTTCTTGTCCTGGGTGATGAGAATGTATGTTAGCAGGGCAGAAAACCTGCCCACAATTCTTATGAAGCATTTAACTTCTTGCAGGGATCAGAGCAGATGAGGGCACCTTCCTTCTTGAGAAGGAGAGGTAGCCCAGAGACCACCTCTGACCTGCACCAACCACATTCCCTTTATTGGGTTTGCAAAACACACAGAATACTGGTGAGCGGAGGAGACCTAAAACATAGTAATATTATTAATAATTAGAGTTCTGACCAATTGCTACAGTTCTTGCTCCCAGGGCTGGGCTACACTTTGGTGATGTTGTCTGCTGGTTTTGCCTCGGCTGGCTCCTCTCTTTTAGGATGGTGGGGGAAGACCCCCACCTTGTTGCTGTGCAGTTCCTCACACCCTGGTGACTTCTGCCCTTTCTTCAGAAGGCAGCAAGCCCCAGAGCTGAGAAAGAAAAGGCTCATCACGACCACAAGCAGAGCCAGAGAGCTAGTGCCTTTGGGGTGTGGACAAAGCCACCGAGGACTGCTGGTTATCTTGGCTGAGAAGTTCCTGCTCTCATCCTGGTAGGTGCAGAAGGCTTCATCCACGTCCTGCACACCCACACCAGCCGCCTGCAGCGTGTCCAGCCAGGCCAGTGAGCAACAGCTGAAGGGGTTTCCAGCGATGGACACGTCCTTCAGGCTGTGGGACCAGCTTGTGAGCACCGGCTTTTCCAACAGCAGCAGGTTGTTATTGCGAACGTTCAGGCTTTCCAGAGAGGAGCAGAAAAGACCAGTGGGCAAAAAGCTCAAATAATTGCCTGAGAGGTCCAAAACTTTGAGTGTGTCCAGGCAGGGAAGCTGTGCCTTGCTGTTGTCCATCTGGTTGTCCCTCAGAGAGAGTTTCTGCAGGGAGAACTCCAACCCGCCCAGGGCATCCTTAGGCATGAATAAATCCTTGTTCCCCGACAGATCTAGGGAGATCAGAGAGGTCTGGTTGAAGGCATAGGGGTGCAGCCTGGTAATGTTGTTCTTGCAAAGACTCAGGTGCTTCAAGTGAGGCACATTGTAGAAGGGGGTGCAGGTGCCTCCGGCAGCTGGCACATGAGAGTCCCCTCCTGAATTCCCTCCCCAATTTCTCCCCTGGCTCTTGCAAGGCTGGAGGCTGTTGGAGCCCAGATCGATTGTTTCCAGCTGAGGCAGAGAATCAAAAAACCAGTGTGGCAGCACGTGGAAGGCATTGCTGTGGAGGTCCAGGGAGCGCACAGAGAGGGTGGTGTGCTCTGGTGAGCGGTTGCTGAGCTCCGTGCCGCCGGCGAGTGACTCCCCAGCTACCTCCTGGAGACAGTTCATAGCCAGGCTGAGGCTGTGCAGGGAGCCCAGGCTGTGGAAGAAGGTAAATGGGAACAGCTGCAGCCGGTTATTGCTGAGATCCAAGTCAGCTACACGTGTCAGACCAGCCGTGGCATGCAAGGTCCCATTAAAGCTCGCCATCTCTTCGTAGCGCAGTACAAACTCTCCCAGATGGTGTGAGCCTGGGAGCAGAGAAGCAATAAGGTTGTTGGAGAGGTTTAAGTGTGTGAGATAATGGGCTTTGGGGAGCTCTGGAAAATAGAGGAGTCTGTTATGGCTCAAGTCGAGCACTTGAAGCAGGTAGGGCTCCTCTCCCTCCTCTGAGACAAAGAGCTCCAGGGCGTTGTGGCTGAGATTTAAAACTCGCAGCTGCACGAGGCTGAAGCCAGAGATACAGTGGAGGGAATTCAAAGCCAAGTTCACCACCTCCAGCTCTTCCAGAGCCTCAAAAGCTCCATCCTCGATTTCCATGATGTAGTTGTTGCTGAGATCGAGCTCACGCAGCCGTGGTGTGCTCCAGAAGATCCCCACCAGCAGCCTGGTCATCTTGTTCCCAGAGAGGTCCAGCACCCTCAGCCTGGTGAGGTTGCTGATGTACCAGCCTGCCATGTGGCTCTCCAAGTTATTTGCTGACAGGTCCAGGACCTCTATATTCCTGAGCAGACGAAAGGCTTGCCCGTTAGCGAGGTAATTGTGGTCCAGGTGGTTTGATCCCAGGAGCAGAGAGCGGAGCTGGGGTAGCTGAGCCAGGGTCGTGGCTGACACGGCTTCCAGCTGGTTGAAGCACACATCCAGGTACTCAAGCTGCCCAAACCCTGGCATGTGGCTGCCCGACAGGTTTTGAATTAAGTTGTTGGAGAGCTCAAGGTACTTAATTCCTTGGCCAAGCTCCTTTGGAAACTTGCGCAGGCCAACTCCTTTGCAAGACACCTTCGTGGGGCTCTACAGGAGACAGGAAAAGCAGTCAGCATAAGAGTCTACAAACCACAGCTCTGGCCAAGCCATCTGCTGTCCAACATGGACATAAGCAACATGGAAAAGAGCACTGCTCCCTCTTCTCAAGCCTGGGATGGGAAGGGGCCAGACCACCTAAGCTGCTGCTCAGAGACAAGAAGCTTGTCCCCATGCTTAAGCTTGGATTTACAAGACACTGCTGAGTTATTTCTGATGGTGCAAGGAGAATGCTCAGTCTCTTGCCCCACAGTCCATTCTCCCATATGTCCCAGAAAGCAAGATGGGCAAAAAAGTAGCATAAGCACTGAAGATGCAGAAGGCTGGTAGGGCAAACCCAGCATCTGGAGAGCGCTGAGACTGTCCAGGGACTGGTCCAGAGCATCCCTGTCATGCCTGGGCAGAGGAAGGGCACCATCCCGGCGGGATTCACCTTCCCTTTACCTCCAAACTGTTTTCCCCCACCAGTTTGGGGTCGGGAGCCTGAATGTGGAGCAGCTGGTGTCTGTCCACCCCCACCAGCACGAACGTGGAACATGGAGGGGTGGACAGACACCAGCTGCTTCATGTCCACGCTCCTGACTGCATTTCTAGCATCTACAGCAGCTGTCTTGCATCCCCGTGAGACCCTGTGCTCCATCCTGCCTCTGCGCAAACATCTCAGGCTGACACCCCCGTGCCCGTGGCAGGGACTGCTGAAGGGTGTCACCAGCATGGCAGGGACATGGCAGCAGCTGGGTGCTGGAGACTGGCTAGCGGGAGACCATCCTGGAGACAGGAGAGCAGAGAGGAGATCAAAGTTGGGAATATTAAAGAGATGGAGGTTGGAGGGAGGTGAGAGCCGTGAGGAGATGGACCCTGCGCTGTGCAGAGATGCTTGCAGCCCTGCTTGGACTCAGTGATGCTGCCGGGACCATCCCAGCGCAGGGGCTCCTCGGAAAGCAGCCTTACCTGCTGGCACAGTGTGGACCTGGGCCTCACCTCCCCGCTAGACTGGGCTCTGAGAACAAATGGGAGCAGCCAGAGCAGCAAGCATCCTCTTTCAGCCAGGCGGTGTTCAAACAAGAGCATGTTGGACTGCAGGTGCTGCCGGCCCCGTCCCGCTCCTCCAGTGCTCTCTGGCAAGCTGGGCAGGAGCTGGGCTCTGTATAAATAGGCTTCAGGATGGGATGGAGGAAGGAGATAACGCATGTGGGTGTTTGTAGCTACGGAAGTGGGAAAAGAAAGACATAAGACTGCAGAGGGGGAAAAACAGTGTAGAAAGCCACAAGGAAGGGAAAGAGAAACGGCAGGACAGGGAGGAGGCAGGGCTGCACCAGTGCTCAGGTGATCAGCTGGACAGACCGCTGAAATCCTATTTCCAGGAGGCAGAGGTGGCACTGGAAAAGGTGAGAAATTTTGGGGGAGTTCCCCTGCGTGGACCTGCTCTTCCTCCAGCTTCCCCTGCCCCGTGCCAGGGGTGAGCTGTGCATGGTGCCAGCTCCCCTGGGGCAGCTGGTGCCGGGGTCACCAGGAGCAGCTGGTGAGGGCTCCCCAGCTGTCCTGAGCTGGGGACCAAGCTCCTGGCTGCAGTCACCCGGGATCACCGCAGGACTCCAGCACCTCCGGGGCTGCAGGTGAGCTCGCTGCATGAAGGCAGAGCAAATTCCTCACAGCACCTGGCGTTCCTCAGGGAACCAACAGTTCCCTGGGGTTTACTACCCATTCGCAGTGGGATGTGCAGAGCTGGCATCCCTCTCCTCCTCCTCCTCCTCTTCCTCCGCAGGAGTCTGCTGTGCTGCAAGAGCTGGGCTCCTCGCTGCCACGTCCCCATGTCCCTGCCAGGCTCGGGGGACGGCTGCTGGGTCACCTCACCTAGGGCAGGAACCAGGCAGGGACTTTCCCTGCAGCAGCTCCAGGTGGAATCGGGGCACCCAGAGGTGCACTTCACCCACGTGGATTATTTTGCAGTGACATCTCCGTGTCCCTGTGCCACTTAGCGCTGACATGCTCCCTGGTGACATGTTCCTTGCATTCTGCAAAATGCACGCTTTTGGGGTTTTTGGCTCACTGGCCAATTTCCTTCCCATTCGAAGGAGCACCTCCAAGCTGCTGCATGGTTGCCCAAGGATGTGTTTGGCTGTAGTTTTAGCTGTAGAGCTCTTCCTCTAGTCCTAGATGTGTCTGGCAGGGAAAAAGAAGAAAATTATATTTGTAAAACATATGAATATATACACACACGCATAGGTACATAGCTGGAAGATGAAGCAGCCTGGTTTCTGCTGCTGTTGCCCTCTACCCTCCTGACGTGGTGGGGAGCACTTTGTCACCTCTGGGATGTGGTTCAGCCTTGAGCTAGACCAACGTCACCAGCCAGCCAGGGCATGCACGGCAGTGGTGCCAGCCAGCCAGGCTCAGCCCAGGGGCCAGGGCTGGTGTTTTAAGGCTGCCGCCCTCTCCACTCACCGCGGTGGACCTGGGCTCCAGCAGCAGCCGGGGCCAGAGGCAGCTGTGAGCAAACAGCCCGCTGTTGTTTTCAGAGGCACAGTGAGGACAGCACATCTGTGCAGATGTGAAATCTTGCAGGCTCCAGCCAGGGAAACACCGACCTCTGGATGAACCTTTGCCTCCAGCGTCCCTCATCTGCCATCAGCAGCCGAGCGCGGAGCCCCGAAAGCGGAAGGCGGCGCAGGGGAGGAACCGCTCTATGCAAGTGCTCCAGCCCCCAGCACAGCCCCCGGCGCCGCCTCGCCCGGGGAACCCCGGCCCTCTCCTCCCTGCATCCCAAATTGCTGGGCATGGGTCTGCAGAGTGGGCACGGCCGATGAAATCAGCTGAAAAGTCCCTGATTTTGATCAGGGACTTCTGCGGAGAATCCCTGGGCATTTGCATCCCAAAGCTGTGAACTCCCTTTGCAGGAGTGCCCAGCTGAGTGAACCAGCTGCGGACTGAGAGCCGTCCAAGGCACCCTGCAAATACTGAGAGGCTTTTCATGGACTGTGCCAAAGGCAGAGTGAACTGCACAGCACGAATGGAAAGAGATTTGCTCCTGCAAATCGCAGGGCATCCCGTGCTTCTTGCCACTCCTGGACTCCAGGCTGGCTCCCAGGTCTCCGGAGTGGTCCGTTAAGGAGAGATGACTGTTCCCCCCGAAGCTTTCACGTGAGAGGTCTCCAAAGCATTGGAGGAACAAGCAGAAAGACAGAGGCTTGGCAGAAGGGGGGATAAACCCAATGTCACAGCCGTACCACGGGGTGACAGACACTCTCTCCCATCCTGGGCGCTAAGCAGGCAGAAGGGTAGCTGGTTATCTAAGTACATCAAATCTATACTTCATTCCCAGTAAGTAGTGACAGCAATGCTGTTTTCTGCACGTTCTCCTGACTGCAGAGAGCAATGAGGAGTGTGAAGGCAAACGCTAAGCAGCTCCAAGCCTGATGAGGAGACCAGTGCCCCTGGCATCAGCGGCAGTGGCCGCAGCAGCTGTGTATCAAATATTCCCCAAAGGACGGAGGAGCTTTGACTTTCCGCTGTGTCCCACCACACAAGCGCAGTCAACATACTTCGCTGTAGCTGTACAGACTTTCCACAGCAACTCCTGCTTTGGCTGGGGAAGGACATCCCACTGAGAACACCAAGATCAGGAAAAAGCTTTATTTGCAAAGAAAATATTGACAATTTACATAAACTTACATCCTAATTTATATACATTATGTATATTTTATATACAGATAGTGTCTTGAATAAAGATGTTGAAGGACAAAACAGCATCAGTTTATCACCGTGCAGCAGTAACAGGTAATGGGGGGAGTCATGTCTCTCTTCCCACAACTCCTCTCCCATTATGCTTTTGCTGGGGAGTCTGAGAGGCTTCCTCCCATCCTGGGAGTGAGGAACATGGGGAGGGGTCAGTCATGAAGCACAGCCCCTTCCCCTTTCCCCCAAAGCTTGCACCGGGACAGCCTGGGACCAGGACGAGAGCCAGGGCCTGTCCCACCCGTCCGCAGCGAGTGGGAAGGCCTCCCCGTGCTCCACCTCTTACTGGGAAGAGGGGAAGAAACATGAATGAGCTAATGCACTTTGCTCATCTCCCTCCCAGTGCAGCTTAGGTGCCCTTTTCTAAGCACCTGACATTGCTTGTTCAGTGGAAGGATGATGCCAAGTCCCCAGATGGGGACAGTGAGTGGCAGGGAGACCACAGACGCTTACCTGTGTGAGAAAGGCGCTGGAGGGAAGCAACAGCCAGGTAGTTTGGGGTAGGGAGCCATGGCCTAAAGCCTCTACTGAAGGGAATCCTTCCTTCAAAAGGGGCCCTGAACACAGCAGCAGAGCTGGCTTCCCTAGAAATTGTGCCTGTAGAGAGGAGGGTGGGAGGGAGAAGGGTTTCAGATGATGCATTATATACTGATTAGCTGCTTGCTACATTTCTGCAGCTGGAGTCCAGCCGAAAGCTGGGTAGCAGAGTCAAGGCACATAGGTAAGAGCAGAGCCAGTATGTACCGCCGGAAAGGAAGGCTGGCACATGAGAAGCCAGTGGTGACTGGTTTTTGTGTCCACCGTCTTGGATACACAGACGTTTGGCTATAAATGAAGCACTTCCTTCTCCACCAGGCTAGGAACTGAGATACATCAAAATTCAGACATCAGAGGGAAAGACTGGAGCAAGGCCCTGTTCCTGCTGGAGTTTGTTAAGACGTCCCATACGTATCCTCCTCACGCTCCTCTGAGCTGCTTCCAGGCCTTTTTGGCTCCATTTAAGGGGAAGAGGCACCAAAGATGGTGGGACACCATCTAGAGAAGCAGCAGACAGAAGCAGCTACACCACAGCCTAGGTAACCTGCACTGTAATACTTCATTAATGAGAACTTGTGCTAGAGGCCAAAGGCTTTCAAGTATAAAGACTCTCCACGGCTGCGACAGGACTGATCTGCCCGCTCATCCCAGGGGTGAACCCGGCTCTCGGTACCAAGGCCACCTGCAGTCAGGTATTCTCTGCTCTTCAACTCTATGTCCAGCTGCAAGCCTCCAACTCGGCTACACTGAGCTTACGCTTTGGTGTAACGCAAGCATCAGAGAAAGTCTAACACCTTCCACGGCTTGTGATGAGGAAGGCACGAACCACTCCGTCCTGCCCTCCTCCTGCATCCCAGGCACACGCCAGAGAGGGAGCGTGACAGCGATGCGTGGGGCTTTCACAGAGAGGAGAGATTATCCCTCTGCCTCCTCCTGCCTGCAGCCAGAGTCAGGAGCAAATCACAGATCCTGCCAGTGGGGGACAAGGAATGCACACTCCATCCATTGCGCTCTCCCAAGTCATTGCGTTATTTATGCTTGCCCCTAAGTCTTGCTGTTCAGGCTGTGTTCTAAAGCAATTCTGTTAATGATTTGCTTAATGTTCTCACTATACACAGTTGTCCTGATTCATTCTTGTCAGAGGAACATGTCCTTCTTAATCCATTTTAAAGGAAATAAACCACAAAGACTAGTTAAGTGTCCCTAAGGCTCTTGCTAGTCCAACATGTTAAGGATAGAAAGGAGGAGAACATATTGAAAAAGAAATAGCAGGCAATTTTTCATGCAGTTGTTTTACAAACTGCACGCCTCCTGTGAATAGCGAGGCTGTAGCCAAAGCTGGGTGCCCCCAAGAAATATTTATCTCCCAATAACTGCAATACTTGGCAAGTGAGATCACTCGCTACGGATGGGGAAAAGCAATGGAGCCAAGAATGCTTCAGCCAGGGTGGACCCTTCTGTGGCCCGACCGGTCGCTATAGCACAGTGCTGAGACACGTCTGCTCTCACGTCCCTGCAGGTGACCACAGCTGAGCCACCTCTGCTTGGAGATGGAGGTCATCACCAAGATGCTAGTTTGGGACTTGTCCCATTTGCTACATAAGCTGAAACTTCACTAGCCTCTTTAGTTTTTAAAGAAAAAACATGCTCTGAAAAGAAATTCAGTTAAAAAAAAAAACACAGCACAACCAAGCACAAGCCAACGCATGACACAAAAGAGCAATTAGCGCTTCAGCCTCTTCCTCAGTTTGAGCACATCTTATAGCTTTAGGTCTCCCCAGTTGAGGGGAGGTAACGGGAGAGAGTTGCTCAAGAAGCCAAAAGAAACAATAGCTTCCCAGCTCTTCTATTAGTCACCAGAAATCGAGTTATGACTAGACTCAGCAGGGCTCAGAGAAAAGAAAAAGTGGTGACTTCATGCTGGACCAGACTTTTTAAATACAAATTTTTTTTGCTACAGACTCCATCACCACTTATTAGAGCATTTTAGGTAGAAGGGTGCCAAAAGGAAAGGGGTGGGGGTAGGAAGGATAAAAACCACATCTAAAAGCAGGACAGTTGCTATTAAAACAGAAAAAAAATATTCCTGTTTGAATAATTTTATTCTTAAACATGACAAACTTCTTCAGAGTGTTTTCACAAGTACTTGTGTCTGCTCTACATGGCCTGGTGAAGCCTGTAGAAATGTGTTCCGGTTTGCAAAATATTAATTAAAAAGACAAAAAAACCCCAACGAACCCCAACAAAACACAAATTGCTGTAACAGCAGCAGTACTTTAAGGCAGCCCCTGTTAGGGCAAGGTATACCTCTGGGGTAATGGCAGGAGCTGAAAGTAGCAGAGGCGCTGGAACCGGTAATCAGCATTTTCTTTGGGACTTTGTGATTTCTGGAATGTGGAGGCAGTTTCCTATCTGCTAAGCCTGCTCTATTAAGTATTCATTTTCCTCTTGCACTTACTGCTTTTGCAGCCTGCTTCCAAGCTCTAGGTAGAGGCACTTCGCCTTCTTTGCTCGCACTCCTGAGGATGAATGTAAACACCACTGACCCTGTCTTATTCACCTCCTTTCGCACCCCGTGGCCATTCCCAGTTCAAACTGGGAAGGCAGAAAACCAGAAACCCCTTTTCTTGCTTTCGTTAGTGTGCAGAAGCAGGAGTGCCTGGATAGGACAATTTGGACGTTCCCACTACTGCCTGGGATGCTCTTGCTAGTGCAACATAAAAGCAGAGACCCACACCACTCTCAACAAGCCTTGTGTGAAGATCACAGAGCAGAATATCAGTGCAGTAATACTTGAAATACTGAGACAAGGCAGACACAACAGCCTTTCTTCCTCACAATGCTTTTTCAACTAGCTTTTTGATCCAAGTCTCCATGCAAGTCACAGAAGACAATTGTGCTTCCTGCATTCACATATAGGAATAAATAGCTCTGGATCAGTTTTCTTTATGGCCGGATTACAGAACCCCCTGAAATACTGATACGCTTATGAACAGCAGCACTGTGCAGTTCTGTGATTATCCTTGGACATGCCAAGTTCATCTAGGATGCTGGTGCATCTCCTAGGCGTATGGCCCCAAAGAAAGTTGTGTGCTTGCTCATGTTGATGGAGATGTCAGCATGGACCATTTTCACAGCAATCTTCTGCCTGGCTTTGAGGAGGCAGACCCCAGCTGTATAGCAGGTATTGAAGTTGGTCTTGCCGGTCTCAATACTCCGAGTGCATTGCAGAAAGGGCTTTTCATCCACCACCACCTCATAGCTGGCAAAATCTGTGAAGTTTATGTAGTATACCTGATGTGAAGCAGGAAGAAGAGAGGTATTAGGGAGTGTATTTGTGCACATGGAACAAGTCCACATTCCTTGCAGTGTGTACATACATGTTCCCTCCACTAACGATCCCTTCCAACTCATGGGCAGTTGACTTGTTCAAAGCAGAAAGAACCCCAAGCCAACCAAACACGAGGAAACTCTATATTCCATTTCATACTAACACAGCATGCAAGCACCCGTGAATCTATGTCTCTACAGCTGAGCTACGAATCCTCACTTTAGACCCTGCTTATTACAGGAAAAATTATAAACCTGCACAGGCCTAATTACTAAAACGTATAGACAACCCTATCTGCTACAAACAGCTTTTCATCCAACAAAGAAACAAATATTTTAACTGAAGTCCTCTTTCACTTACCTGGCCAGTCCTGTTTTCTGGGTTCCATGAGCCTCCTTTAGTGTTGACATCAAAAATGCCCTAAGATGTACTGGGAGTTGCCGCCTTTGTAATTGGACTTGAGGTGCTTTCAAAGGCATAAGCTATTACTGGGAAGACAATCTCCCAACCTCCACAGCTTGGAAGCAAATGACCTTATAGGGTTTGTACTGATTTAACTTTGAGATTTAGCGACTAAGTCCCCATGACTCCATTTCTCGTTACTCAACCATCTCTCACACACCGATTCTGAAGAACTGCAAGATGCAGGAAAGACCTGTCCAAAGAGAAGTCAGTCCCAGGGAGCTGTTTCTTCCTCATAGAAGAAACCCAGCCATTTTGGATGCATTTGCTAATTCTTCTTAGTGTACACCCTGCAACCACAAAAGCTACACAAGACTGAGTCTTCTTTTTCCTTGATGGGCTACAAATGGCAAAGGCTTCAGAGGCACAATGTCGTGGCCAGCAATTAGCATTAGGCACTTGGGAAATAACTGTACTTTAGCCCATGTAGAGTTATTTTTCCTGTCCCCATCCAAACCAGACACGCAACCAGTTCCAAGGAAGAGTACCTAACAACATCCACAGCTCACTTTATCTGACTTGGTACAGTCCTGGTGGGGGTGCCAACTGAATAGAGGCAAATCATGAGCAGTAGGTAGTATTAGAAGCCTGGAGCAACGTAGAAGTTGCTTAATTGTGGTTGTCACACAGAAACCCTCTCGTCTTGCTAAAATCTGTCCCAGAACATGGGCAGCTTTTCAGTCCACAGATGGGTAGACACCCTGCCCTGGAAGGGGAGAGCTTTGTAGCTCATACTCCACACAGGTCAGCAACTCTGATCCGCAAGACACTGGGAGCGGTGCGTTAAATGACAGTTTGTCTCCTGCCTTTTATTTGAATGGGGAAAGGAAATGGTGTCTTAATTAGCTGTATACTAAAGCATAATACAATAATTTATTACTTTGCTTAGCCCTTTTTACAGAAGCAGGTCCATACATCCATCGTTGGTACCAACTAAAGCAGCAGCTGAGCCATCCTACTGCACAATGCGGTTGCTGGCACATCGTGTCGGTCTGAAGCTACACGAAGAAGGTGGAGGCGGAATGGAATTACCCGGGCTAGAGTTTGGCCAAGCCACTAGGCCAAGAGTCCTATGCTTACAAAGAATGACATGGCTTCGAAATGATCATGAGTTGTCAGGGTTTTGGTCTTACATATATTTTAAAGCACAGAGCCTAGCATGCTGCTGGGACCCTTGTTCTGCAAGGTTTAGATGGGCTGGTGAATGACTGCACAGACAATATGGAGGATTAAAAAAAGGCATTGGTGGCATGTGGAATCTGGCTGGGCATCTGCACATGTGTTTCGGTAACTAATCTCTTGCAGCCGGTCTCATGGTGAAATGTGTGACCTTGCACTTGGAAACTCTAATGTCTTCCTCCGACACACATCTCCTAGAGCACGAAGCGGTTAAAAGTACATACAAGTTCTTGGCATTTGCTAGTTGTCTGGAGCCCTCTCGTGGTTCATGCAAGGCTTCCATTGGAACACAAGAATAGGAGTTAGGCCTAGGACCGTACTCACTTCTACCTGACTATAGATGAAGTATGTGCCGTCCACCAGTACCTCCAGCTCCCCACTGCGGGCATGCAGCTTAAACACCTTGGGGTTCATAGTGATGCGAGACCAGTCATTGAGGACTCCACCTGAAAGATCTCAGTATGAGAAAATGGCAGTCACTCAGTACCCGTCAGAATGAAAAGCGCAGGAGCACAGAAATACAGTGACATTGCAAGGTTTCATACACAACGCCTGGCACAGACTCAAGTTTAAAAGTCAAGTTACTCAGTAAGAAAATCCCAGAATTAAAGACTGTGGTGCATTAGTTTGGAGTCCTCTCTATAGCTCTAATCACACCATCGCTTGCTGGTGGACACCCATTTCATTCAGTGCACAGCACAATTGGTTGATGTCTCTACTTTTCCTCACCAAGAGTAGTTCTCCTCATCCTTGAAAATCGGCGTACGGCCTTTTGTACTACACTACGTTAATCCCCAATGCTGGATGCAGACTAACTTGCCTCCTCCTGACACTAAATTGAGCTTATTGTCATATCTGAGTGTTTTAGAGGCCTGAAAACATGCTTCCAGTATCAGTCCCACTTCAGAGCAAAGACACTCCCGCACATACAAATCAGTGCCAGTACGGTAAGGTATTTGCTAACTTTTCTTAATTCACCTGAGAGGCCAGGGGCTGAATTTTCATGCTATTTTTTTTATGTTCAGCCACACATCCCAAATGACTTGTTGCACCTGTGATTATAACAGCACTTCTTCAGGTGGCTCCTGAAGAGCATCTGTTCATGGCCCTTGTAAAAGCTTTGTTACTGGTGACTTCTCTGGCATCATGGAAGAAGCTCTGCAGCAGAGGTAGGACCACAATCCAATTTTCCAGGAAAGATCCTTAACTGACATCGCCCAGCCATGAGATCATTAAATCTCCTCTACTTTTTATCTCATTTATTCCCCTCCCCACACCTCTACCCAGCTTCAACACTAAATTAAGTGGAGCTTCAACAGACAGTGTGCTGAAGATCACATTAACAGGTACATCCTGGAGGACCACAGCAAGGCTAGGATGACAACAGTGATTCCTGTCCTCATGGAAATGGGACTACACATGTCCAATCTGTCTGTCCCCTCTCAGTGCTGCTGGGCTGGAAGATGTCCTCAGCAGAAGTGTTACGATACAGCCTTCACCCTCACTTTAAGCCTTGGGATCATCCCTAAAAGAAAACTAGTCCTTGCAGCAAAAGAGACAAGAGCATTATGGAAAAAAAATCACATGTAACTACGGGACTACACTGTCTCTCAGGACACATCTGTGCATGGAGGCCAACTTAGGGTTACACAATCGATTTTAATTCTGGTATTCCTTTACTTCAATGTTCTTGACTTTGTAACTAGCATTGTTTTAACAAATGCTTTGTCATTACATTTCCTATGTTTTTAAAAGCCAAAATAATAACAAAGTATGAAATTGCATCACGTCACACTATATTAACCCCTAACTGGGGTCCTCAACATGGTCGGGGGTTTACAGATCCACCACCCAGTCCTCTGGCACTGGAGCCAATGGAATAACTGACAACATGATATGACCTCTGTTCTCTGGCCAGGCCAACAAGCAGGTCACACTTTGCTATGAGCCCAGAACAGAGCCATTCTCTGTAGGTGCCTTGTTTTATCAAATACAACTCTTTTCCTCCCAGTCTTCGTCTGCTTTTCAGCTCCCTGCCCCCCACTGCAAACCAGCCAGGCTGTGTTTTCTGCTGTCTGTCAGCTGGACAGCATTAATGGCTCACAGCGTCAGATTGTTCCCGAGCAGCAGGGAAGGACACTCACAGGGCAATTCCCACTCTTAGAGAGTAGTGAACGCTCTGTAAACATACAGGCTTCCCATTAATAAAGGGAGAATTACTTTCTGAACGTAAAGCAAAACAGCATCTTTTCCCTCATATTGTTCTTAGGAACGGCCGGTTTCCTTTTTGTTTTGGGGAGCTTTCCTCCGCCCTGCTGTAAGTGTACTTCTCTAACCATAAGAAATTTCAGTTCCCACAGCTCACATCTGCTGAAAGACAGAAAATGCCTTTCAACAGAAGCGGTGGCCAGCTCTCATCAGCCCATACATGGGGCAGAAGTTGGTGGACAGGGGTCCTGCAGCCCTATCCTTGCTGCACCAACCCTTGGGAGCTGCAGCCCTCCAGGTCCAGGATGGGGGGTACATGCACCAGGGCTGCCGCCCGTGCCCCCCAGGGAGCTGCACGTGGTGACTTAGGCAGGGGACAAGACAGCCAGCTCCTCCTCGGAACAGCCAGACATCGTGAGCAGGGAGGTAACAGCTAATGAATAAGACCCAGCTGTTGGCAAGCAGAGCAGGAACTTGAGCAGAAATTGGATAGAGATCCAGGGAGGAAGGAGAAGAGCAAAGAGCTGCCTGTGGACATGAAATGTCTCGGCAGGACTTGAACTTAAAGGCTGTTGGTGGGGGTAGAGATGCACAAGGGACCACAGAGGCTGCATGTGTGCACACTTGCAGCGTAACGCAGAAGGAGCCAGTGGCTGTGCACCTCTGTGTTCTTACAGCACAGCTGTGCCTTCGCCTGCCATAAATTACTGGGAAAACTGGAGAAAAACACTGGCTAAAACACAGGGCTGACACAGGAAAAGGATACACTGAGGGCCTAAACCAGAACAGAGTGGGAAAGAAGGCTGGGACATCAAGGGGCTGAGGAAAATGGATGATACAACAGCAGGTTGGAAGAGACACAACATGGGTCTGGAGGTCAAGGAGAAGGGAGATTCAGCAGGACAGAATTACTGGAATGCACAGTATAGAGATAATCTGGGAGATAAATAGGACTGCAGGGGAAATGGGAACTCAACAGAAGACTCCCCTAAGGAGGGGAATCAGACTGTCTTAGGGGGAAACCAACAGCAGGAACAATCAGGGACCTGTGTTACAGGATGGACTTAGACCCAGATACAAGGCTGTGGGTACAGGATGGGCTCTTTTCATTAACTGCCAATATCATGAGATCCTTACCATTCTTCACTTGGATTGCTGAGCCTTGGCCTTGAAGGTGGACCACAGCTGGCTGCAAACAAGATCAGACAGATTTAAAATTAATGGGAAACACTGTGTCATTCTACCATCACTCAACACTCCTCCACATCACTGGTGACCAGTACAGAGGCATGACAGTACTCTGAAATCATTAGTGCTTTTTGTAAGTGAAAAAAGATCAGAGCAGCTGACAATAACATGTTTAAGTACCGAAGACGAGGCAAGAAGCCCAAGCCAGATTAACAAGGCTTTCTTTTGAGAAACAAAAAGGGTGAGCTCAGGCAGTCACTCTGTGTAGCTATGATTTAGCACACACAGGAAGGGGTGGGGTTTTTTCAGAGCTATACCATCAAACACAACATTAGCAAACATAGCTAGTAATATTTACAAAAATCCAGCCAAAGCTGGTTTTTCCCTTGAAAGAAGATCAACAAACCTGAATGTCTCTGGAGCCGGCCTTGTCCGTGGCACCTGCAAAATGCAATTTCACATCATTGAAGAGGAAGTTTGAAAGAGCTGCAATAAGCACTTCTAGAAATAAAACTTTTCTTACCCCATAATAACCATTAAACCCCCATTTTTAACAGGAGGAGGACAGCACCAGTGGTATGGGGTGCAGCTTAATGTTAAGAAGTACATAAACAAGAAAAAGGTTCATCCCACTTTTTCCTATTTTATTCCTGCATTTCTGTCTAATATCAAAATTCCCTAATGTTATTCAACCAGTTTCCACTAGAAGGACAAGTTGCACAACCCTTTTCCTGATCGGTAGTGGCAATAAAGCCTCTTGGCTGCAAAGATTACAAGTTTCACTCTGCAGTAACTCAGGTCATTCATTGCATTCAAGCTACATGCTGAAATCTCTTTTCTCTGAGAGCCAAATCTCTATTAAAGAGAAGATGCTTGTGGGCAGCACTCTGGAGTGCTAAGGACCTCATGCTGCTCCTGGCCTCTGCTTTGGCAATTTCTGAGATATAAACTGAGAAGACAACCAAGTTTTCCTTTGAGACCCATGTGACCTATAGGGTAATAGCCCTGTTTTCTCTGAAGATACATTTTTTAATACTAGACTGTTCACATATATATGAAACAACACTGATGTGAATTTCCACTAATCTGCATTTTAAAGAGTTATTAAATTCAGGGATTTTAACAAAATAATTGGCACAGGACTCTGTGGAGAAACAATATGGTGTGGATACAAAGAAACAAAGGAAAATGAAACCAAGAACTGCAGGAGAAAAACCCTATTTTCATCTGGCTGGTACAGGAGACAAGCTGCCTTGGTTCATGCAGTTCCTGGGCTGGCTTAGCAGCTGTGCTAAGTGTCAGCCTTCCCAGTCCCGATGCAAAGCTAGGCTTTGCGTCAGCTTAAGAGGAATTAACACAAACACCGAGCCTCGGCCAGGAAGAGCCGCTTTGCAGCCAGTCTGCACACACAGAAATCGGTCACTGGCAGAGTTCAGCGGGACCCTGCAAAGCAACTGAGGTTCCGCAGGTCTTTGCTGCTCCTTCTCTGGGCTCCCATAGGGCTGCAGAACCTCTGCTGCTCCTCTCGTCCTGCCGTGGGTGCAAGGATGGCCCCAGGAACGCACAAGTCCTGTGCACAGATGCTGCACCATTGGCACTCAGACCCTACGCTGTCCTCAGATGGAAACCTGGTGGTTATTTATTTATTTGTACAGTAGCAGTGCCACTGTGGCATCTCCTGCAAAGGCTCTGAGCAGAAAAGGGGGCAAACCAGTTACCTGAGGGGCCCTGTAGTCCAGGTGGTCCCTGAGGGCCCGGTGGGCCAGGGGGGCCAGGTGGTCCCATGACAGTTGTGCCAGGAATCCCTGGAATCCCAGGAATGCCAGGGGGACCCTGGGGCCCAGGAGGACCTGGTGGTCCTTGGGGACCGTTGGGCCCTGGAGGACCAGCCTTCTTACCTGAAAAACAAGGTCAAACGTTAGCTTCTCTGCACACCGACCGTGAGGTGGTCTTTTACCTATAGGAAAGCCCAGGAACAAGGAAAGCAGAAGATTGGGGATGGCTCATTGCTGGCTGGGGAGCAAGGACAAGGAGGAGCACCCAACCGGCTGGGGTGGGGGGTCCCATGGCTCCGCACCATGATGTCCGCCTTGCAGGCTGCTCCCAGCACATGTAACTACATTTAAATAAGGCACGTGGACTCTCCGAGGCCTCCCAAGAGATGGAGGCTCAGCCGGTCTCTGCCCCAGAGCTCTGGCTGCAGCCCTGGCCTGGCCACCCTGCTCTTGGCACAGGGAGGGGGGGTCCCGCAGCCCTCAAAGGCAGAGAGCCCATGAACTGGTCGCACCCCTACGGCAGGGTTAGGATACTGCCTTTGACCAGCTGCACGTTGCAACACAAAAAGGGAAAGCTGGAGTATTAAGAACCAAGGCAAACCACTCTGCAGTTCCTCAATTTTCCATTTTTTGATGGAAAACAGCTGCAATCTTTTCTACCTGCTGTACATGTACGCATTCGTTTATAATCCCCATGGCTTGATCTTTTGTCTGAGGGAGAGAGGTGCCTCCAGAGGGCAGTTCAGAGCTGAGCTTCAGCTCCTCTCCCCCAGCTGCTGAGGGCCCAGGACCACGCAGGAGGCAGCCCCGCACCCCTGCCATGCCGCTGCTCCACACGTTTCTACCATGTGACGAGGACGCCTTTAACAAGCACCAAGGATTTAGATGCTACAACGCCTCAAAAGGACTAAAGGTGCATTTTGGGCTTTGGGTGGAGAGGTAAGGGAAGGACTAACCCAGTCAGGAGGATGAAAGCACTGAAGAATTGCCACGATCCTCAAACACATCCCAACACGTGGTCCCAGGAAGAGAAACAGCATAACCATGTAAGTAAAGACTCTAATCAGGCATAAACACCGTGGACTGAAATAAGGTCTGCAGGGAAATGACCTACGCTCCCCTGATTTTCCAGATCCCTGAGAGAATTTATGGTTTTTTTTTTCAATGTAGCTTTTAAATGCAACTTTGTAACAGCTTTATTGGCTTAGCAAAACTGCTTCAATTGCTGAAGCAAAGTCTGTGCTGTAGCACAGAATTAAACACTTAATGACAGAAGCAGTTAGAATATGAAATAATGGTTATTGGAATGGCTTCTGACTACATTTATGTACTTGTTTCTCTACTAAATATCCATCCATCTTTGTCATGGAACAAAACTATAAGAAAAAACCCATCTATTTTAGTTAGCACAGAAGTGGAAATCTCTAGATGGCCACTAGCCACGAACAAGGGCGCAGGGAAATCAGTGCAGGACAAACATGTGCTTTTGTTTCAGTGTCCAGAAAAATAAGTTAAAGTAAGCACAGATGATTAAAGTAATACTGGTGTCCTACAAAAACAGGGCAAAGGCTTAAGGGGACAAATCATTCACAGCACTATTTCTGCCCAGATTAGTAGCTGTGCCTTCAAATCTGAGCTGGCAACAAGCCAGCCTTCTTCTAATCCAATAATTCTCCTCCTCCTCAGGATAATTACATGCTTTGGAAATTATCACCTTGAATCAAACTCCTTACCTATTTCCCCTAAAACACAATTACTAAATCCTTCTCGTTCACATCCCCTCTGATCTAGGCCACCCGAATGAAGAATCATATGCAGTAAGTCAGGAATCCTGCTGCTGTCACTCCTTGCTTTCCTTCCCAAGAGGGACACACATTACAGATGGTTTAACTAATCTGTCTCAGAAATCTGGTCTGCTACTAAATGAACTGCTAGTTTATAGCAGTAAAACAATTGCACATAATTCTGATGCTGCACAGGGACACTTATTTTCTGTGCATTCCCGCTCCTTCAAGTAATTTCAACTACTTTTCTGCATTAATGGAACTTCGCTTATTAAAGTCACAAGGCAAAAAATAGATATCCAGTAAGTATAAAGCTCTCAATTAATCTTCTAACTGAGGGGACCCCAGCCCCATCACGAGCAGCTCTCCAGGGGGGGTCTCCAGCACTCAAGTCCAAGCGTGCCACGGCTCCGTTTTTACTCACATGCACTAGGCACGCTCCAAAACTCAAAGCATGCAGTACCAGTAAGCTTTCCTTAATCATTGTTCATCAAACAATAAGCTCTAATTAAAAAAAAAAAAAAAGTGACAATACCATAAAATTAAGCTATTTTATAGAGCGCTACAGCTGTATATAATACAGCTCTATGAGATCCCCCTGCTACTCCAGAATTGCTATGAATACCACAGTCATCATTTGTTATTAGTTTGGCTGATTTAACACGGGTTTAGGGTTTCAGAGTTTTGTTAAGACAAACTTCTCAAACATAAAATTTTATGCTGCGTTTGAGGGTAAATATAAACTAAGTTTCTAACTATGGCCTGTCTCAACCTCTCAGCCATAACTTTTGAGTTTGTATCCAAGGATTAAAAGTGATTTGATGTACTATTAAAGTAGCACAGACATGCAAAGCTTGGCCGCTCTTGCTGCCACAGTTTGCCACGGTGGGCTGGAGCTCAGGCCATATACGTGCACACACAGGGAGGTCTCTCAAGGGACACAGCAAGTGCTGGACAGCTAACTTTCCTGTTAATTAAATATACATTAGGTGCAACAGGTAGTAAGCAAAAAGTTGACATTGCACCTGTCAGTGCTTTGCTGGCGCAGGCTTGGCCACAAGCACATGCTGCACATCAACGCCTGCATGAGCCCCTCGATAAACTGAGCTCCCTGGGCTTCAGAGGCAGCACAACCCCAAGTTGCACAAAGTTTCTACATTTCTCATAACCTACCACCCATTGCAAGCATGCACCACTTTTAAAAATGTGAGCAGGAGTGTATTGATGGTTATAAGGAGGGAAAACGTGTAATCTGTCTGCATTGCCCTGAATTCAAGACTGCAGCATATTTTTAAGGAAAAGTTTATAAAGCAACTCAGATCCTTTGACTCACTCATGTTCCTGGTAGCAAGGAAGTGCTATGACCATAAACATTGCTCAGGTGGCCTACACAAACAGGGATGGCATCAGACATCCCCTGGAAACACAGGACTGCCTCCCAAATAACCCAAGTGACAACAACTGATCCATATGCATTTTAAAAAATACCCAATTACCCATCACAAACAACTTGAGGAACATGAACAAGTCAGATAAAATACCTGTCGGCTGACCAACACTCAGAATAGACACATAAAATAATACTTCTGTGGTTAATACACAACCAGATATGAGATGCAGAGCGTATTGATGTTGACTTTGGTGGGTCTGAAGGAGACCCCAACCTGTAGTAGATGCATGGTGGGACAAGGATGAAAGCTAAAGCTGTTTTGGCAGAGACAGCCTGGCAAACAGCAAGTGGCTCCCAATAGCTGGTACGTGACTCATCTCCACTCAACTATTTAATTATAGCATCTTCAGAATGACTTCTACACAATGTAATTAACTTCCTTTAGCTGTTCAGGCAGGCTTCAATAAGCCGGCTTCAAGCTCCCCTGATGCCATTGGGTCATGCAGTCCTGCCATGGCCATGGCGTGTGAGAGCAGCTCATGGTGCATGTTGCAGAACCATGCACCGTGTTAATCCCTGCCCTTCACAGAGAGGGAACCTGTCTTTGGTTTCTCCTTCATGTTGGCTAAACAGAATTCATAGCCAGGCACCACAAGCACAGAAAGGAAAAATAAATTAAAGCTCAAACTTACCCTTTTTCTTGTTTTTAACTGAACTTGGACCTACAAAGAAAAAGAAAAATAGTGAAATTCAATGATCATTTAATCTTAGATGATCCCCACTGCCATCAACAGCCACTGTCCCAGAGGGTGTTTCTCCAGAGCTGGAACAAAACTGGCAACAAAACCAGTAAGCTAAAGATGTAGTCTTCTGTTTTCTACAAACAACTGCTGTGAAGGTATAACAATTTTACCAGAACCCAGATCTGCTTTACCCTCTCTCAAACTAGCAACCTGTGGCTGGTATCACACAAGTGAGTGAGTTTTGGTGGGCATCTCTTCACCTTACTGCAAAGGTTAGTTAAACCATTCGCTCATGGCCAAGGGCAAAGCTCAGGTGACAGATGCTGTTCAACCTTGAGCCAGAGCTTTACTCTCAGATACCAGCTTAGTTCCAGCTCTGCTCAGAGTTTTGCTGCCCATCTGTATCTACCAAAGTTGCTGATAGAAGTACAGCATGTCAAACCTTCAGACAGCAGAAATCCTGAAACTCAACAGAAACCATTTAAAAATACTATCTCTCAACAGCAGATTATTTTTCAAGTGGACAATGGATGCATTTGTGGTCTATGCAGCCATACATAAATTCCTTCTGTTAGCTTGAAATTGCCAAGCTTAACATTTAAAGCTGAGACACTTCCCGATGAGGACAGGTTAGAAGAAAGTTAGCATGATTCAGCTCTCAGCTGAGAGTAACCCAAATACTTGCAAGCCAAGTTGTTCTAAAAAAACCCCAAACCTAAAAAAAAAAAAAAACAAAAGCAAAGAATTAGTATGAACTGGCTTATTTAAACAATGGGAATACAAGCCTCCCTAGCAAGAAGTGAAAATATTTATAGTGAAGTTGAGAAACTACATGACTTTTTGAGCTGAAGCTGAAGTGTGAAACATGTTCCATCACTTCCTCAAAAATTAGTCATGGATGGAAATGAACTGCAAAAACACCCAAATATTCCCTTGCTGTTCATCAGTGAAAACCCTCTAAAATCTGGTTTTAAACAGACATTGAAGACTGAAATCTCCTTTAACTGGGATACGTGTATAATGGATGGAAGGCAATGAGGTTACTTCAAGTCATCAGTGGTAGAGAAAGACAAATTACCAATCAGTACTGAAGTGCCATGTTCCCACAGCCATTTAGGGGAAAGATGAGAGAAGGACCAGAGAAATACTCAACAACCTTATTGATGCCTTTTCAACAGGAATATTAATTTGCCTACATTATGCTGTTGGGTCATGGGAAAAATATTTTAGTATTATCTGATTTATTATTTGTGCTAATTTACTATGGTTTTACTAATCCATATATTCACAGTATTAAACTGTGTAGATACGACAACACATTGATTTCTAACAATGCCAGTCCTGGTATCTTGCTGGGGAGTAACACTGAAGATGAACTACAAAACCTTTTATGTTCAGCACATACTCACAGGCTCCTCTTTTTGCATTTTCTGAGCTCCTGCAAGGCAGAATGAGCTGTGATCATGCTGACACTCTCCACTGGCCCTCATCTTAGGCACCAGCTAGTTAATAACATTTTCAGTAAAGAAAAAATATTGTCTGGGGGATGTAACTGAAAAAAAAAAAAAAAAACCAAAAAAACAGAAAAACACCAAAACCCAACGCAGCAAGCAAAATGTGAGTGCTACGTATGTGTCTCTTCAGACCTCAGAGTCACGAGAGTTTATTTCATGTTATATATATCACACCATTAGCGCTATAACCAGAGTGAAAGTACAAATAGCTGTGGCGAGCCAAACACATTTGAAATGGATGGAACCAATTAGCTTCAAAGATGAATGGGAGGAATGAGAACCACATGCGATGTCAATGTTCACAGTCTATATTACAACACACGCATCTGTTCCAGGCACGGCAGAGAGAGATGTTACGGCTGTGCAAGTGAATCTTTCGACAAACACAAAAATACTTCTGACATGAAAAAAAACACAGTATTATTAGCCTTGGGAGCTTCTGAGTCTCTGGGGTTTGCATCTGTTCATCTCCCAAGAGGAGGGGGTGGATAATTTAATTGTAGCAGGGAGCCATAAGGTTCACCCGATACACCAGATGACAGAATTTTCCTCATTTTTGCTCAAAATGGTAAACTCATCGTCTCTTTCTCAATTTAGTCTAAAATGGTAACAAAGTCTCTCACTGAGTTTGAGAAGCAGAGTGCCACCGAAATATAGGATCTATATTCCCCTCAGTATGAAAGGTGCTGAGTCACAAGGCTTGAAAACTTTATTTGATATACATTGGCCAATACTTACGTGCAGAGGACTAAAAAAAAAAAGAAATCCTTTCTGCCATGCTTTTCTGAGGCCACACCCCAGTATTTAAGTAATAAAGCTTGTTAAATGCTGCAGTGGTTGAATGCATCTGACCCACTGGTTATCTGTTAATTGATGGAGCAGGTTAAATACCTACAAGTTAAACAAGCGTAAGTCTTTTCTAGAGTCTTCTCCTACACCATTAATCCCACCTCATCATCCCACTACTCCTGCAGAGAGGCTCCCAGTCTCAAAGTCTTTTACACTAACCATGTTTATTAAGTGTAGTTTCATGGAGGCCGTTAGATGACTTGGTTGAAAGAAAGGCCTATAAGAAGACACTTCTTTTTCTCTCCAAGGTGCAGACTACAGGCATATGCACTATGTTCCTCTACAGTGTCAGAAACATAATAAAAACTCACGTTACAGGATACCTATTGCTGCTCCAGAGTCCACAAGACCTGCCATCTTTTTGTAGAAGGAAATTGGTTTGAACTGAAGAATCCTCCACTGATCAACATTGTCTGCTATCGCTCTTATCTCTGCTTTCAGGGGCCTCCCCACAGTGCATTTGAGGATTTATTCCAGGGGGATCTGAGGGCAACCTGACCAGTCAGCTGTTCCCCAGCACCTCTTTTCCGTTCTTTATAAAAATAACCTTGAATTTGCTTTTCTGCACTTTTCTGGCATTGCCTCTGTTCCTCATGAATTCCTTTAAGTATCTGTTATGAACGTACTAGAGATCAAGCCTGTGGTCTTGGCTGCTGGTATTAAACACGACAGCTACCCCAGCATAGCTATTATTCTCTGTATGTGCTTGTGCTCGACTTTTGTACTTCTTCCTACTAACCCCACCTATCTCCCACCTCCTTTCTGCATGCTGTCTGCTCATGTTTGAGGTCAAACCAGACCCGAGACCTAGGGAAGTCCATCCCCTTCTACATTTCCTGTCTTTCATCTGATATTAAATTTATGCTTATGCTTATGCTAATCCATCCTTGAAGGAGCTGTCAGCTCTATTCAACCCCTCATTTTAGCTTCATTTTGCAGAGGAAGGAAAGTTGACAAGAACTGCTAATACAGAAGGGGACTGGGATATCAGAGAGGACAGGCTGGAGGGCTTTGAAGGATAATAAGTGTGGAATGAAATTCAGTCATACAAAACGCATAGTCCTATAAATTATATATATGTGGGGAATAATTAACTTTGCTGCTGTACTGGTGGAGCTCCTCAGACGGAGTCGCAAAGGCCAACGTCTGCGTGCACTGAGTTGCTGTTGCAGAGCCAGGAAAGGCAGAAATACAATCCTAAAACAGATCAGCAGAAATACATCTGGCAGACGTGGGGCAATACTGATGGCACTCGGGAGGTGCGCGTGAAAATCCTGGGAGTAACGCAGTCAATCCTGATCATCTACATACAGAAAGATGAATTTTAAAAAGAACAATTTCACAGAAGGGCTTCTGAGAAGGTCAAGAAGTGGTCAAGCAGAGCTCACCTGGTTGGCCATCAACACTGGGAAAGGGATGAGAGCACCAGTGGGAAAGGCTATGGTGATGGGCACTGAGGGAGAAGACCTATCAGGACTTAAAGAACAGCACTGGCATGTCCTCACATGTACAAATTGCTCCCCAAGACCATTAAGCTGGGAATGAGAAGGCTATTTCTAACCTCCAAAAGGAGTAGCACAGATTTGGAGGGTCTTCTGGCTCAGAGCAAGCCCTTTGGAGTCATGGGTCACTGCTTAAAAGTCTCTCAAAAGTTCATCAGTCCCTCTGGAAAGCAACAAAGTTATTTTTTGCCTAACTACTAAAGCCATAGCTACTAAGCTATGAAGCAGGTTGCTCACCTGACTTGAAATGTTTAAGCTAGCTACCTGATCTACTTCTAAAATTTATAATCTCTTTCACTGAATTTCATTGGATTTCCTGTAGGAAAAGCCCACCGATTCCTGCTGTATTAAGGCCAGCTCTATCATCTGCCAGCTGAGTTCATGACAGGACGAGATTTCCCCAGCAAGGGTGTTAGAGCAGCAATGATGCATGCTGGGCTTTTGAAGACCCTGGCTTTGAACAGTGCTCGAGACCTAGACTTCTCCAAAAGCTTATTTTCCACATCTGTTGGGAAAATAAAAGGGAACGATAACAGAAAAGGAGGGAACATAAAACCAGCAAGAGTGGTAAACGTTGAGGGAAAGGCACAAACAGGGAAAGACAGCAAAAAATTCCAACCCAACCAAAAGAGCCACCCTGGAAGGCTGCCCGCAGAGCTGGGCATCTGCAAGGGAAAGGCTCCAAGCAGTGCCAAGTTATTTCTTCTAGCAGAAGCACTACAGCCATGGGTTTTAGCGACGAGCCAGTTCAGATGCAAGCTTCTCACTTAAACTGAAGAAAATATTTGCAGTAGATGAGTTTTTGTTGTGTAAAACCGCAGCTGTGGCCCAGCAAGCAGCAGAAGACATCTAACTGTGCTTCAGGGAGCAGGTTCCAGCCCCCAGCTCCTGCAGCCCTAGCATCTGCTGGATCATTTCCAAGGGCTTCATAGAAAAAAAAAAAAAAAAACAGATGGTGATGCAACTCAAAGATATTACATATGACATGTTTTCTCTTATAAAGATTAATAGAGTTTAGTTCCCCCCCCCCTCGATTTTTCTTTCCGCACGCTACACACTGCTATGATTTACTATAAATACAAAAATATCAAAAACTTCTTTAGGACATATGCTG